ACTAGAAAACATTGACTGCCAAACAGGGTTATATTGATGGATTTTTCCTTCGGGTTCTTTGTTTTTTTAGTGTTACATCAAAATGCTCGTTTTCACTCTCAGAGAAAAAAAGGGTATGGCCTTTACCCTAGTTACAACGACAGTTGACTCAATCGCAGTCGGCCGGACACACGGGCAACTCAAATGCCATTTACAACGAATGACATTTGAGCGGACGGCCATCCAGCGCGCGACAATCTGGGCGTAGCGCATTCCACGCGCGACAGATTGCGAGCTGATTCGCCGATCACACAAATGTCATTCGTTGTAAATGGCATTCGAGTTGCCCGTGTGGCAAGGGTATACACAGAAACCTTCGGAGTAAAATAGGGAGCGAAAAATAGGGACTCTAACCAAAAATTTAATAAACATTTACCCGACGTTTCGGGACCAGTTCGGTCCCTTGCTCACGGGTGAGTGACGAAAAGAAAAGAACACGTGTCGTCTAAGTGCACATACGGATGTAGGGGGCTTTGCTCACGTCGCGCAGTCCCGAGACGTAGCTGCTGGGCAGGGAGCCCGAAGAACGATTCACGTTCCCCTTTGTGCGCTGGATAAACCAGGACTCAACGAAGAGCCGCTTTCGCCAATTCTTCTCCAAGGCCAGCACGGTGCTTCCCTCGAAGTCGACAGTGTGACCGGCTGCTTCTGCGTGCTCCGCGAGGGCGCTCGCCTCCACATCCTTCTTCTGGACATCATATCTGTGTCGCGTAAGCCTCTCTGCGAAGTTTTTACTTTCGCCAACGTATGAAGCCGGGCAATCCTTGCATGGTATGCGGTAGACCAAGCCTTGGGCCCTTTCTTTGGGGGGCCGATCCTTTGGGAGGGGGAGGCGATGACCGATTGTCGACACGGGCTTATGAGTCACCGATTTCTCAAGTATCCGAAGAATAAACCGTTTAGGGTAGCCGTTCTTGCGGAGATCCGATGTGACGACCTTGATTTCCTCCTGGAGGCTTTTCTTTGTGGAGCAGGTGGCGAAGGCGCGCCTGAAGAGTGCAGAGGCCACCGACGCTTTATGACATCGGGGGTGGTGGGAATCAAACCCCAAGTATCTGCCAGTATGAGTTGGCTTCCTGTAAACAGAGAAGCTTGGCCCACTGCCATTCCTGGTTACCAGTACATCCAAAAAGGGAAGGGAACCTTTGTCTTCGCGTTCAACCGTGAATTGTAGCGACTCATCCACCGAATTCAGGTGCTTTAGAAGACGATCCGCCTCGCTGGTTTTAACGACGCAGAAACAGTCGTCCACGTAACGCAGGAACGTTCTGGGTTTAGGCTCGAAAGTGTCGAGAGCCTGGCGTTCGATGGCCTCCATTGTGAGGTTTGCCATTGTCACAGATATGGCTGCCCCCATGGCTGTGCCGCTGGTTTGCTTGTAGTACTTCCCGTTGAATGAGAAGTATGTGCTGTTCAGGCAGAGCTCTAGTAGTCGGCAGATCTCGTCAACCGAAAGGCACGTTGTCTCCGGGAGTTTTTCGTCTGCCGAGAGAGCACTTCTTGCAACAGATACCGCCAATGGCACCGGGATGCTAGTGAATAAAGACACCACGTCAAAAGAGACGAGGCTCTCGTCGTCACGTAGCTCTAAATCGGAAACAAGCTCTATGAAGTTACCAGAGTTTTGCACGTAGGTTGGAGTCTTTCCGGTGAGGGGTGAGAGAAGCCTGTGGAATATCCTGACTTCCGCAGCCTTTACATGAGGCTGATCTGCAGGAACGGATCTATCCCGGCGTTGTACGGCCTCCCCAAGATACACAAAGCCGGTGTACCACTTCGACCTATTGTGGACTTCACAACGTCACCTTTGCGCGCCCTCTCCAACTACCTCCACAGGCTTCTCTCACCCCTCACCGGAAAGACTCCAACGTACGTGCAAAACTCTGGTAACTTCATAGAGCTTGTTTCCGATTTAGAGCTACGTGTCGACGAGAGCCTCGTCTCTTTTGACGTGGTGTCTTTATTCACCAGCATCCCGGTGCCATTGGCGGTATCTGTTGCAAGAAGTGCTCTCTCGGCAGACGAAAAACTCCCGGAGAGAACGTGCCTTTCGGTTGACGAGATCTGCCGACTACTAGAGTTCTGCCTGAACGGCACATACGTCTCATTCAACGGGAAGTACTACAAGCAAACCAGCGGCACAGCCATGGGGGCAGCCATATCTGTGACAATGGCAAACCTCACAATGGAGGCCATCGAACGCCAGGCTCTCGACACTTTCGAGCCTAAACCCAGAACGTTCCTGCGTTACGTGGACGACTGTTTCTGCGTCGTTAAAACCAGCGAGGCGGATCGTCTTCTAAAGCACCTGAACTCGGTGGATGAGTCGCTACAATTCACGGTTGAACGCGAAGACAAAGGTTCCCTTCCCTTTTTGGATGTACTGGTAACCAGGAATGGCAGTGGGCCAAGCTTCTCTGTTTACAGGAAGCCAACTCATACTGGCAGATACTTGGGGTTTGATTCCCACCACCCCCGATGTCATAAAGCGTCGGTGGCCTCTGCACTCTTCAGGCGCGCCTTCGCCACCTGCTCCACAAAGAAAAGCCTCCAGGAGGAAATCAAGGTCGTCACATCGGATCTCCGCAAGAACGGCTACCCTAAACGGTTTATTCTTCGGATACTCGAGAAATCGGTGACTCATAAGCCCGTGTCGACAATCGGTCATCGCCTCCCCCTCCCAAAGGATCGGCCCCCCAAAGAAAGGGCCCAAGGCTTGGTCTACCGCATACCATGCAAGGATTGCCCGGCTTCATACGTTGGCGAAAGTAAAAACTTCGCAAAGAGGCTTACGCGACACAGATATGATGTCCAGAAGAAGGATGTGGAGGCGAGCGCCCTCGGGGAGCACGCAGAGGCAGCCGGCCACACTGTCGACTTCGAGGGAAGCACCGTGCTGGCCTTGGAGAAGAATCGGCGAAAGCGGCTCTTCGTTGAGTCCTGGTTTATCCAGCGCACAAAGGGGAACGTGAATCGTTCTTCGGGCTCCCTGCCCAGCAGCTACGTCTCGGGACTGCGCGAGGTGAGCAAAGCCCCCTACATCCGTATGTGCACTTAGACGACACGTGGTCTTTTCTTTTCGTCACTCACCCGTGAGCAAGGGACCGAACTGGTCCCGAAACGTCGGGTAAATGTTTATTAAATTTTTGGTTAGAGTCCCTATTTTTTGCTTCATGTCTACTCCTAACCAGGCAGAGGGCTGCCGAACGTTTACCTTCGAGTAAAATAGGAAACGGAAGCAGAAAGCGATCCTGGCGTCAGGGAGTGGACACCGAACTATTTTCACCGGAAATGGAGCAAGTACCTCGGACTCGGGAGAGAAATTGATAATCTATTAAATATATATTTTTTTGTTTATGGAGCATGCGAAGCATAAGCTCGTGATATTGGACGTCTTGGTCTTTTTATGTCAAAATGTAGTGCGTGCTGTATAGATCTGTTAGGATTTGCATAGCGATTTTGTACAATCTAAAAAATTAATTACCTTTTCTGATCTTGTTGACTTCGTTGTTTTATTTCTACCGAGACATGCCATATTAGATGTCATTGACTCCGAGTGACCATAATTGGTAATACGCATAAATGTTTGATGGGATTGACTTGAAAAGGCTCTAACTGACTAAAAGTGATTATTGTTGACAATTATCTGATTTTTTTTTGTTTGTTACACGTATGAACGGCTTCAAGTAGCTTTTATTTGCTAATAGCATCTTCTTTGACCAGATTTACCTTAACTGACTGCCAATGGCTATTGATGGGATAATTGACAATTATATATTTTGGTGCTGGTGAATGAGTATGGCTTCATCTGGCTATTATTGACTATCAGCTTCTTCTTTATATATTTGCTTGATATGGGCTACAGATGGCTATTATTATTTAGTATTGAAAACTGGGCTATTTCTGTTTACGAACTAGAACGGCTTCAGGTGGCTGTTGATGGCTGTTAGAATCTATTTCTGACCAGATTGGCTTTAAATGGTTACTAATATGGCTATTAGTCAGTATAATAACAATTATCTGCTATTTGAATGTTTTGAATGAAAATAGCTTCAAGTGGCTAATATTGTAATATTGGCTATAAGCACTTATTTTTTTATTACATCGGCTTCGAATGGCTGCAAATGGCTATTAGGGGCTAAGTACTGATAAATATGATTTAGCTATTTTTATTTTTACGAAATGGAATTGCCTCAAGTGACTGTTGTTGGTTATTAGTATTCATTTTTGACTAGACTGACTTTAACTGGCTACTGGTGACTATTGATGAGATAACTGGCAATTTTGTGCTATTTCGCTACTTAAAAATGAGTATGGCTTCAAGCGGCTAATATTGACTGTATGCATCCAATTTAAATAAATTTCCTTAAAATGGCTACAAATGGCTATTAGTGACTACGGTTGATAGTTATCAGCGACTTTTTATTTACTAACTGGAATGGCTTTAATTGGCTATTGTTGGCTATTAGCATCTATTTATGACCAGAATTGCTTCAAATGGTTAGAAATGGCTATTAGAGAGTATAATTGACAATTCTGCGCCATTTCAGTGCTTATGGATGAAAATGGCTACACATGGCTATTACTGGCTATAATCTTTTATGTTTATTGGATTGGCTAGAAATGGCTACAAATGGCTATTAGTGACTAGTGTTGACAGTTATGCACAATTTTTGTGTTTACTAACTGGAACGGCTTTAAGTCGCTATTGTTAGCTATTAGCATCTATATATGACCAAATTAGCTTCAGATGGCTAGCAATGGCTATTAGGGAATATCATTGACAATTCTGCGCTATTTTAGTGTCTATGGATGAAAATGGCCACAAGTGGCTATTATTTTCCACAAGTGTGGACAGCCCTTTGGCAGGCCGATAACCTCGCCAGAAGTGACAGTAACAGAAACACTCCACGTTATATATGTCCTTGCTCTAAACGCGCTTGTGCGTGCCTAATACATACTGCGATGTTTCTGTTCGAGGAATTGCAGAGGAGATCTCTCCATCGGTAGAACACGGTGTCGTTCAAACCCACTGGTGCCCCCGCCTGGCAGAGCACAGACTTCCGCACCTGCGTACAGCCAAGAAATAGTGATAGTGAGAGCCTGCAAGGCTAGCATGGAGATGGCACATGAATACACGGCGGGTGACATTGGAAGAATCCAAGTGCAATTACACTATCACGTAATGTTTGCTACGGCCACAGATGTTCCATATTCGCTTCCGTTTTACAGGTTTTCCCGCTCATTTTAATCCAAGCGACGACCAATTTAATCCCGGGGTCACACAATTTAATCCAAGCTCCATTCAATTTAATCCAAGCGCCACACTATTTAATCCCGGGATCAGTCTATTTAATCCACAATATATATATGCACTTATTGTGCTCACTGGTCGTGTTTCGCTTAAACATTATTAACTTAGAACAATTCTTTATACAATTAGAATTTTGGGCGGGCAATTGCTAATTTGATCACTAATGTGATTACTTTGAGTTACTAGTCCTACTATTGACGAGGCTTAATTGTGTGTTGGTTTCTCTTTTTAGAGCACAGCTTTTAGGCACCCATTTTCGGCTTGAGCAGCGTCGGCGTAACCACGTGGTGCATGATGGGCGAATTCCTCCACTAGATTTAGCACAAAAATTCCCCCGCTAAATCTAGCAGAAAATTTTCCCCGCCAAATCTAGCGAAATATTTTTCACGCTAAATATAGCGTGTGGGATTTCCCTTGCTGCTACCCGTCTCGGAGAATGACACAGCACACCGGTTCAACAACACGTAAACATTTAATGACCGCTATCGCCTGCGCCGCGATCCCAACAGCCCCCGCGCATCCGCTGCGACGGCCTTTTATCAGCGGCGGAGCGCCGCTCGCGTGGCCAGTTGCCCTTGGCCCCCTCGTGGTCAAGATGACCACTTATGATTGTCGGAGGGGCAGCCTGGGCCAACCGCTTGGAATCGCCAGGTTGCCCACACATCTCCCCCTTTCCAAAAACGAAAACAGAGGAGGTCTTTGATGGTCTTCGGGGGGGGCCTTCCTTCTGGGTCAGCAAGGGTCTTCTCAGATGAGCGAGCACGGGTCCGACGTCAGTACTTCCGGACAGTACCGATGCAGCCATGGGGGGTGGTCTGATGATGGGAGCCGTGTCGCCGCTGTCTGGCACGAGGAACTAGAAATTAAAAACAACATGAGGCCATGGCGCGGTAGGAAAAAGTAGCCGCGCACACGAAAGATGCCTGTCCCACTGTGCATGCGCGAGCGCGGACCATTTCTCTTCTCCCCCCCAAAACACCGAAGAGGGCATGAAGATAATACACTTAGAACTCGTGCTACTCCCGGTCGTCTTCACCGCCGTCTCAAGTTGTACCGCGGTAGAGACGGTGTGGAATCTTCCGAGAGGTGGTCCGGATAGTCGTCATCTGGAACCTGCGACACATCTACCTCCTCGGGTTCATAGAAAGCTTTTAGGTCGGCGACATGAATAGACCCGCACACTTCACCAGATTCACAATGCACCAGCTCATAAGACAGGTTGGAGAGCTTGCTACTAACACGGTAGGGGCCATCCCACCTCTTTGCTAAAGAGGCCGTGAAGCCCCTAGCAGCATCACTCAGCGGATGAGTTCGCCTCAGTACCAGATCTCCTACCTTGAACTGCAGATTTCGCCTCCCCTTGTTGTACTGGTTCGCCTGCTGCAGTCTCGAGACGTCGAGGCTCTCTCGAGCTTCACGCAGGTTCTCCGTGAAACGCTTCCGGAGATCTTCTGCGAACTGCGTGGTTGTGCGCTGCATGCTTGCAGGATCTGTGCAAAGGAGGCCGTTTCCCAGGGGAAACACCAGCTCTTTTCCAAAGTTAAGTTGGGCCGGAGTAAAACCCGTGGACCGGTTGATTGTTGTGCGGGTAGCGAATGCCATTTCTGCTAATTTCGCGTCCCAGTCTTTGTGTCGTTCTGTATGCGATACAAGCATCTGCTTCAGGTTACAGTTCACTCTTTCCGTGATATTCGCCTGTGGATGGTATGGCGAAGTCCGTTTGTGCCGTATGCCTAGCGCCTTACACGCATCCACGAACACCTTGCTAACAAAATAAGAAGCGTTGTCTGTAATAAGCGTTGCGGCAAAGCCAAAGCGCGCAAACGTCTCGAGAAGACAGTCCCAGATTTTCTTAGAGTCTAGTTTGCGCAAAGGAAACATTTCGACCCATTTTGTGAAATGGTCGGTCACTACTAGCAAATACTGATTGCCGCGTGGACTACGGGGAAAGGGACCGACAACGTCGCAGGCAACACACTCCCAGGGGTACTTGCTTTCGACCGACTGCATTAAACCTGGTGGTTGCCCACCTCGGGGTTTTGCCTTCTGACAAACCGGGCAGCTACGAGCGTACCTCATCACATCCTGCCTCATACCTGGCCACGTTGCAATTTGGGACAACTTTTCGTAAGTTTTGCTCCCACTGCTGTGGCCTGCCAAGGCGGGATCATGCATATATCTTATAAATGACTTACGCAGTTTACGTGGTATTACAGACCGGAATGGCGGGCCGCTGAACCCATCGTCCGCCTGGGGGATGTATCGCAGCAGGATGCCGTCGCTGCTGAGCAGGTATGAGTCCAAGTCTCTGGGATTCCCAGCGCCGGCTGAGTTTTCTTCTGCCAGCTGGTGCATCACCTTCTGACAAAGTCCATCGGACAGCTGGGCCGCTCGGAGCTCCTCTCTGCTCACCAGGGTTCCCCACCGCGACTCTGGTGTGATGGGCGCCGCATTGGCCAGTGCCACCAAGTCGGGATCCACCTGCATTTCCTGCCCGAGAAGTGGAGCACAGGACAACGCATCTGCAACGTGGTTAGCCACTCCACGCTTGTACTCGATTGTGTATTTGTAGCGCTGAAGCGAAAGGGCCCATCGAGCGAGTCGTCCTGCAGGGTTTTGAAGCCCTTTGAGCCACGAGAGAGCCATGGGGTCAGTTTGAATGCTAAACGAAGCGCCGTCAAGGTACATGTCAAACTTCTTAAGCGCAAAAATAATTGCCTGGCACTCTTTTTCGGTTGTTGAGTAGTTTCGCTCCGCTCCGGTTCACGTATGACTGGCGAAAGCTACGGGACGAAGAACGCTGTCATGTTCCTGCAGAAGGACTGCTCCTAATCCGTAATCGCTTGCGTCGGTCTGCAAGACGAACGGACGATTCAAGTCGGGCAGGTTTAAACACGCGTTTTCAGTCACAGCCCTTGAAAGACACGCGAATGCGGTTTGCTGCTCTTGCCCCCAGCACCATTTCGTTTTTTTGCGGAGCAATCGGTTAAGAGGTTCAGTTATCTCAGCGCATTGCGGAATAAAATCTCTATAAAACGCAATCATCCCGAGGTATCTCTGTAGGCTTTTGACGTCATAAGAGGGTGGGTACTCCGTTATTGCGCGCAGCTTATCTTCATTCGGCCGCAGCGTTCCGTTATCCACAACAAATCCGAGAAGGTTGAATACAGGCGATGCCAACTGGACTTTATCTGGATGAATCGTAAGGCCGGCTTGACGCATTCGTTCGAGTATGATCTGAAGGTGCACGAGATGCTCCTCGAATGTTCGTGAAAAGACCACTACGTCATCCATGTACGCCATCGCAAACTCGTACTTCGCGTCACCGAGGACAACGTCCATTAGGCGTTGAAAGCTGGCGGGAGAGTTGGACAAACCAAAGGGAAGGCGAGTGAATTCGAACAACCCCCTATGGAAAATGAATGCGGTCTTCTTTACATCAGCCGGATGAACTTCGATTTGAAGAAATCCGCGGCTGCAATCGAGGGTTGTGAAAACAGTCGCGTTTCCAAGGGCATACATTACTGAGGAAATACTAGGAAACGGGTAACTGTCTCTGACTGACACTTCATTTAGGCGCCTGTAATCAACACAAAGCCTTGCTGTGCCGTCCTTTTTTGGAGCAAGGACTACCGGGGAAGCCCACGGGCTTTTTGACTGACGTACTGCGCCTGTGTTGATCATTTCCAACAGCGCCGCATCAAGAAGTTCGCGCTTGTGAGCACTTATGGGTCTCGGGTTGCACCTCCGGGGAGGTGCATCCTTGGTTTCGATGCGGTGCTGTAGGAGATCGATTTTCCCAGGTCTTTCCGTGAACATCGGCGAGAAGGGTTCCAGCAGTTGCTGGAGCTGCTTCTGTTTGTCTTCACCGGAACACTTTTGCACGGCTTTGAGCACGCTGTCTGGAAGTAAAGGCATCTGCCCGGCAAAGTTTAACGGGAACGCTTGGCCGCGAATACAATCTTGCCGTCTGGTAAACGGCGTTAATTTCATTTCGCCACCCAACCAATATCCAGCCTGGGCAAAGTCGAGCAAAACCCGCTCCGCTGCAATAAAATCTCTACCCAGGATCATGGGCACCGGCAGTTCTGGGAGGTATACGAACCGTTGTCTTCGTTTTCTACCATGAAAGGAAATTCGTAACCTGACTGCGCCGGCAGCAGGCAGTACGGACCCCGATGCTACTTGCAATTTCACGTTTGCTGACCGCAGATGTATCTTTCTCTTGTTACATTCTGCAAATACAGCATCCCCAATAAGCGATATGTTTGCTCCAGTATCTAAAAGAGCGGCTACTGGTATACCTAGTACATTCACAGTCATACGAGGTTCGAGAGACTTGGGTGTAGATTCGATTTTACTCACAGCTGGGATGAGCACTGTCGGTTCCTCGTTTAGTGAGGTTGTTCCTACCCCCGTCGACTGGTGCGAGTCCATTAGCGGCCGGCCATCCAGAGCGACCATCCTTGGTGTTGAGAACTTCAAAGCGGCTCTGACGCTGGGGATCGGGCCGGCCTTTGGCTGAAAGGGAATCGCATTAGGGTCCAACTCAAATGCAGTTGCTTCGGGTAGCGTAGGACCGGGAACAGTGGAGGCTGTTCGCCCGGGGATCAGTGCAAAGGCAGACGCGCCGGGAGTCTCATGACCGAGAATGTTGTTAGCTGGCCGCCCGGGTGTCACTGCAACAGCAGGCACGCCGGGAGTCTCAAGACCGCGAACGGCGTGAGCTGGGCGCCCGGGTGTCGGTGTGAAAGC